TCTCTCTCCCCCTCACTCAATAACATAAATAATCTCCTTTCGTAAAATTTTTCATAAACTATTTCCTCACTTTTTCCTAAATTATCTTTAATTTCTATTATTCTATTTCACTTTTTTATTTATATCTATCTATACAATGTTTGAATTAAAAAATTTAAGAATTATTTAAACATTATTATAAATTATATAATAAATTTTAAATATTTATTAAAAATATAAAAAATAATGATAGATTTAATATTATTATTTTATTAATAAAATTATTCCAATATTTAAATAAAAAATAATAAGAATAGTTAAATAATTACATAAAAATATTAATTATTATGTTATAACTTTAAAATAAACAAAATTCAGAAAACAAAAATTTTTTAACATTTTATATATTATTTAAATATTTAAATAACTAAATATTTTAAATAAAATATTATTTAACATAACTAGATTTTAAATAGATAAAATAATGAAACTATGTATTAAATTTAAAATTTTTTTATGAAAGTAGAAAAATAATTATAACACAATATTCAAATTAATAATAATTTAATATTTTACAAAGTTAATAACGAAATTATGTAATAATAGTATAAATTATAATTTTATAGATTATTAAATTCAATAAATAATTAATATTTTAAAGCTTAAAAAATGATATTACTTAAATAACTAAATAATATTGTAAATAACTAATTTCACTTATATCGATAATAATTTTAGAAAATAACTTTCAAAAACAATAATATTTATTAATAATAATGTTAAAATCTTAATCTATATTTATTATATATTAATATATACTAAAAGTAATATTTATTGTATTTTCAGTAATTATTTACAATTTTTGTGATAAATATATTTTCAATAATTATGTATAAATCTAATTTTGTTTTGTTATTTAACAGAAAATTTTCAATAGTTATTGGAGATTAAACTACTTATTTAACTTTTTAGATTTAATTTATTGTACTTATTGTATTTTTGTTATAACTTATTGATTAATACTTATTAGAGGTTAAACTATTATTTGAGATTACACTATCTATTAACTAATTTAATATATTTTTAGTATTTATTGTATTTTTGTAATTGTTGTGATATTATTACTTATTTATTGTATTTTCACTATAAATTTTCAATAATTATTGGAGATTAAGCTATCGTTATTTATTAGAGATTAGAATATTAACTTACCTAAAAGTAGGAGTGTTCACCCAGTTGGTTCGATTCAGATGTAGGTTTTTGGTCAACCAAATTGACCTGTTCAGGTTGGGGAGTTGGTCATAGGAGTGTACATTTGGTCGGTTCGATTCGATTTGGTCGCATCCCTCAATTGAACCAAACCGAACATGGGTTTAAAACAAACTGAACCAAACCAAATTTAATTCATTTTGGATTTTTTTTTTTTGGCAATTTAAAATTAAAAGGATTGAGTTAGTAGAAAGGGGGGAAGGGAAATATCACAAATAAGAGCTAGTAATTACTAATTACTCTTTAATAGTTTGACTCCTAACCCAACTCGGCAACTCCAATTTGGTTGTCTTTTGAGTTCCCCAATTCCCACTTACTAGTTATTGGTAAATACTAAGTACTAATTCGTAAGTGTTTTTATTTATTACTGATACTAACTACAATCTCGATTGGGCCTAAAGCTCAAAGGGAGATTTAGGAAAAAGTTTAATATATAAAACAATAGTTAAATTAATAAAACACAATATAATTAAAATAATTAATTAATTATATAATATACAATTGTATATAGTATAGTAGTTCAGTTTTCGGTTCAGTTTGGTTAAATCTTGTAGACAAACCGAACCGAAAACGAAATTTTTAACACATCAAAAACTGAACCAAACCAATAACTGAATTAGCTTATTCAGTTTGATTCAGCTCTGTTTTTGGTTTCTGATCCAAATTTGAACACCCCTAGTTGGTCACCCAAAACCGATTGACCATTAGGGAAAACTAGCCAACTCGGGTTGTATCAGTTTGCATCGATTTTCGGTTTGACCGGTCAATTCAAAAGACTTGAACTTAAAAAATTAAATTTAAATTAAAATTTGTAGTGGCATTATTAAAATATAATTTTAAAATTAAATTTATGAGATAAAATATTTTATACTAAGAAATATGAGAATTTTCCCACTTTCTCATATTAAATAGTTATATTTAAAATATAAAATATTAATATATATCTCTAGTCAGGTCATTTGATTTTGGTCAGTTTACAAATGGCCAAAGTGAAATTGATTCAAAGCCAATCAAAAATGCTAGAAGATCAACCAACTCGACCCGATTTGGTCGGTTTCATCAATTTTATGAACAACCCTGGTTGAAATAAATTATTGTTATCTTTATACTATAAAAAAAATTATTAAAAGTAGTATATAAAATATAAATAATTATTAATTATTTAAAAATTAAAAATATAAAACAATTGTATACTCTTCTGTGTTTCTATTGTTTAGCTTTCGCTTAACAAATGTCGTGCATTGCAAGAGTCTCTACTAGTTCCGATTAAACAAATGAATATATGTATATATAATTATTATATATGGGCAATCAAGGTAATATTATCATAAAAATATTTAGTAAAGTCGGCTGGCCATTAAAGAGTAGTGTTTAGTCATGTAAAATACTTAAATGCTTACAACTTCTATTAATGATCATTAATTGTAATCTAAGGGAAGGTGAGTATTAAACAACAAAACTTAAAGACATGGAGCCCCATGGAGGTTTTCAAAAGCCATGGTGAATTTAAGAGAAGTGTGAAAAAGTAATGGTAAGTTTTAGATAATATTCCTTCATATTTTCAAATCAAGAGTTAATGCTTAATGGAGTAAGAGTGAAGCTAATAGGGTCATTTAACAAGACTGGAGTGAGTAATCGAATGATTTAGATTAATAAAATCAATGATATTAAGGCCAAGTTTGGGATGCTTATTTGAAAAATATGTGTTTATTCATGTTTGTCACCCAACTTTTCAAGTGCTTATTTTAAAAAATAAACATTTATTTCATATTGGGCATTTGGTGGTTTTTTTCTCCAATAAGCACTTATTCATTTAAAAATACAAATTTACTCTTCATGTTAAGAGTGTAACATCAAAAAGAATGTTCATCACTTGGATGCATGAGCTTCTGGTTTGAGCTTGGAAAATCCCCAACATTTAGGAAGAAGAAGAAACCGGTATTCACAAGGAAAAAGCAAGTAACAGTGTTGGACGAATGTAGTGGTTGTTCAGTTCGAGATGAGAAAATGAAAAAAAAGGAGTAAGGAAGAATGTTGAACGCACAAGCTTTTGGTTCGAGCTTGGAGTAATGTCGTCACTACTATGGACTCTGTACAAAGAAGACTAGAGGAGAAAGCTCCACCAAATAGAGAAAACCCTATGTTCTTCGAGGAAAGGGCAATGCTGGCATTTTGAAATATAATCAAGAAGTATTTTGGAAGGAAATTTTTCAATAAGTGCTTATTGTATAAACACTTAAAAATAAGTTGAAATTTTGGGCTTCTTGAATAAGTGTTTATCCTCAAAATAAGCACTTGCAACTTATTTCAAGTTTATTTCCAAAACGCCACTAAGTGCTTATTGGTGTGATTCCAAAAGTGCTTATTCAAACACTTATTTTTAAACACTCCCAAACTTGGCCTAAATTATAAAAAGCACATGGGCAATATATCATATCGAGTTTGTATTAATTCATATAATCTTGTATCAGCCAATACACACCAAAACATAACATGGGTGAAATCCATAACGTATTGGCCAATGTAAACAAAATTTTAAGTGATGAAAATTTTATAAAATGAAAAATTAAATTTTTTTATGCCATTCTAGAGGTGTAAAACAGAATGTGCCGCCCATGGGCCAATATAGCTCAAGTTGTGCCTACCACGATACGATCTCCGAGGCCAGGCTGGGCCGAGGGTTTATGGTGTATGTATATGTGTAATTTTTTTCAATTTCATTTTATTATTTCATATATAATCAATTGTATTACATCAAAATTCATATAGAATAAAATTTTAATTTTTTTCAATTTATTATCTATCTTGCTAATTTATTTTAATTCCTCGTTATTTTTCAATTTTTCTTAAAAAATCATGTGACTCGTGACCCAGCCCAACAACTGCCTACATTACACCTCTATCAACATGTATATTAATTGAAAAAAATAACAATTATCTTTCCTAAGAACATTAAATTTCCTTTCAAAAGATGGTAAATCACATATCTAGGATAGTAATATTTTAAGTAAAAGAGAAAAACAACAAGGTGGAAGCCACTCTTATTTGATGTAAGAAACTTACTATAATTTTTTGTCTGACACACGCCTTGTCTTTGAGTACCTTACACCTAACTCCCATTCACCCTGTGGTTCAAGTATGGAACAGCCACACCGATACAATATGATACACCGTTGTGTCGTAATTTTCATGCTTGATTTAAGGTATTCAAGTTAAACTGAGTGTGGTTGATTAGGCAAACCACACTTTGACAATACAACCCTGGTTTTGAGATCACATCTCCTCCACACAAGGGGCCTCCCCACAATGTCCCACAACACATCCCCGCCGTGTATTAAGAACATCTCCCAATGATATTAACAAAACCAATGATAACATCGGAAGATAATGGGGCGGCCCCTAGTGGGGAGGAGATGTGAACTCCATGGGTTTATGATCTACAGGTATTGAGGATCATCATTATAACTCACAAAACAGGCCTAGCACTTCTCAGCGTGATTATATACCATATCTGAAGTCTGGCTTAGATAGCATTCTTAATGAGAATTTATCCATCTTGCCACATTTTTCCGCATGATTGACTGATTATGGACCAAGAATTTGATGGTTGAAGAATCTATTGAATAATGGTCATTGCTTGGTGAAAGAGCAAAATCTTGGCCTGACAAGTTTTAGCCCTCTTGATGTTTCCTTGTCTAGTCCATCTTGCGCAGATACCGAATTATCGGAACCAACAGCTAAGACGATGCTAACACGGCAAATAATTAAGAAAGAAATACATTTCAAAGTAGATTGATCGAAAACAACAACCAAACCACCTAAGTCTGAGAAGCATCATGATAACAAGGAAGCTCAAGTTCTAACAGTAGTCAACAAACAGGATCTTCCTATCAGCCTTCCCAGTGCCAAATTATTTAATGATTAAGCTATATATATCTCTCTTTTCAGAAACAAAGATTGGAGATGATGATCAGTGACTAAATTTGAAAGCAGAGAACCACTGTTTCATTCGCCCATGGCAAGCCACGGTTCTCACGGCTCAATGTGCACGGTCCCTGAGCACTTCCAGATCCATCTCCGTAGGATCAGTAGCTTGAATCTCATAGTGCACGCCATCTAGCTCTCGCCGGAACCTGTCCTTGGAAGTGGCGTAAAGCATCTTGGCACGGATACGAGCGACTGATGGAGCCCTGCAAAGGAGTATATGCCAGTCATGAAGTGAAATAACCACAACAAATATTGTCAAAGCAAATATTCCCTTTCCACAGGCACAGAGGGATAGATGCGTTTTCATCGTTAGTGCACAAAATACCGTGTCAAGAAACTCTTACAAATCATATTTCAACACCCAGGGATAAAGGTGTGCTTACTTGCGGATTGTTTGTTGATTAATCAAAGAGGTTTGCTTTGCTCAAGGAAAACAGATGCTCATACCAAAAGCTGAAATAGTCCAAACTAAACAAAATGCTCTTCTTATGATTCCTTTACAACAGATCAGCTCTTCCATAGGAATCCCATGAAAAATAAATTGCATGATGAATGCCCATTCTAGAACCAAAATGTATGGCTTTCATAATTTGCATTAGAAGTACTTATTTTAACAACCACTTAAGGTTGCTTGGTAACCCACTTGCCAAATCACTTATTATGTTTTTAAGCACTTATTGGGGTGGGGATGTTTAATAAGCTACTTTCCCCCATAAGTGCTTATATTGACTCAAATGACAATTTTAGCCCTCACTTCCTTCAATGAGAAGAATAACTTCACAAAAAAGAAGAAAGTGGAAAAACGACAGGTCCGCCGGCCACTTTTCCTCACCGCTGATCGTCGCCAGTGGACATATAAATGGGTGCGCCACCACTTGGTTTGAATGAGAAGAGATGGAGGTTTAACCCTCGCGCTGGGGTATTTAGGTATTATAAGAAAATACTAGGGACTGGTTCGTCCCATTTTATTGGAGAAGTACTTCTTCAAAAAGTTCTGAGAAAAAGCCAACTTCAGGTCACTTTTTTAAGAAGTCCTTTTTAAAAAAAGTACTTCTCCACTTTTTTACCAAACACAAAACCACTTAATGTGTGGTCCCAGCTCTTAAAAGAAGTACTTGTTAGCATAGTAAAACTAGATATTCACACCTTAACATCACATCCTAGAGGGCGTCCCTCGGATGCAACACACTACACCTTAACCTGAGTGTAGTGTCAAATGATAAGGATATACTAGGGTAGTCCCTGGAATCAGTATTAGATCTGCCACAACAATGCCCCCAGTTGTAATGTATACAAGGAAGATGACCAAGTCACCCAAGAGAAGAGGGAAAAAAGACCACTACCAAACAAACTCCAACATCAACCAGTCAAAATATCACTAAGTCCAAACATAGACCATTCCAACCAAAGAAAGACGGTCTCAAAAACAATACACCCCAAAGGAAGGGTTTCACCTATAACCCTCTCATCATATTGGAGAACTTCTACCAAAGCAAAAGTCCGAATGATTCCTTCAACCACAACTCTTAGCTCGTATCTTTCCCCTGCAAAAAATAGATCTTCTCCCACAAACCAACTGCAATCAATTTCTTTATCTTGTAAATTCAACTTGAGTACCGAATTACATATAGTTGCCTTTCTATTGCTTATTATTAGCTTTTAGATCAGATTTAACAGAAGATCATGGATTAAGATATTGATACAATATGCCCAATATAGGGTGTATCATATTGCAGTTAGCATTTGTTTCCTAGAGCCTATGTTTGATGATTATGCCAAAAGGAAAAAGAATATATGCACTATATATACAAATGTCCAAACGAACTTCTGCTTCATGATATGGTAATTGATAGAACCAAAAAAAGAGGACATGATTGTTAGTACTATGTTCAGGTAAAGAGCACGTGCCTATCTAAAACCAAGGTTCAAACTTCAAAGTATTGATACACCTGATATGCACAAACCTGAGTATCAGGTATTTCGACTTACTATAACTTAATCTTTTTTTTTTTCAAAATTGGTCAGGGGCTGGTCTTAGGCCTCCCTACCCCATGAAACTGGTCAAAACCCCAAAAGACCTTTATTTAGAATCAGTGACTTGCCGATTTAATACATACCAGCTGATATGCTGCAAAATTTTGATCCTTGTCTAAAACAAGAAAAATGCAAACATCATAAAATTTAGGACAAAATAAAGATATGATAGAGTACGAATTTTCCATCAAATAATGGGTATCAAAACAGTGAATAAAGAATGGAAGTCTTGCCATGGAAATCCATCCCAATAATATATCATGAAAATAAATCACATCAACAAAGAAAGTAAAATAACACCAATAAATAGTGGCATATGTTTTGTAAATGCATGCATGCTGGTGTTTTGGAAATGAACATGACAGGATGAACCACTAATGTTGCAGAAACTGCTAAAACCGGAGTTAAAGACTCCCTACCAATTTAAATAAGACAACAAAGAAATGAATCACCATACAATACTCAGTTCCCATTATCATAGAAAAGACCACTCAGATGAGATCCAAATCCAATAAGTCTAAACATCTAATCAACTACCAAGAATACAAAACAGATGCCAAATTTTGGAAATTTGAAGAGAAAAGCTAACCATGCGATGAAGAAGATCTTGCTCTTTTGGCAATTCTCAGAAGTCACAAAATCAAAGTCATAGACTGCATATCGACAATCATTCTCAGGCAATGCTGCTATGAAATCATCATAGCTCTCAGCTGGACCTCCAGTCTTCTCAACAACAACCTCCTTTTTCTTTTCATCAATCTTAAAGATTACATAACGATGCACCTTCTTTCTCTTCAGTTCCAAAAATGTGTTTCTACTGTGATCAGCTACTCCCATGCCAGAAGAAGCATTTGCCTGCAATTTGAAACCTAATCCATAAGAACTTTGTCTGAATCAGGAAAACAGAAAATAAAAAAAAATTTATGAATACTTCTTACAAGGATATTTATATATTCAAGTTTTTTTGGGAGAGAGAGAGAGAGAGATTCCTTGTGGAGAGAAGGTCACAGGATGCATTTTTTGAAGGTAGCACGAAACATCGCCGATTATTGAATCACATGCTCCTAACGCCCCAACTTTTGGAAGAAAATTTTACAGAATTCAGAACTCAGGAAATACTCTAATCATTGCCTGATTTGGAGAGGAAAAGGCAAAAATAAAGGGGGGAGGGGCAACAGATAGTAGAATTCCTAAATTATTACCCCCCCCGGCCAATACTACAAAATTAGATCCTACATCTCAAACTCTACCTAATGCTTAAAAATAAGTTAATTGACAGCTATCTAAAACGTTTAGAAAGAAACAAAATGATGAGGATGTTCCGATGTTCATACTTCATAGAATCTACACCAGTTTGCAAACCCCAACAGTACAAAACCAGTATTTCTTAACTCTTTTTCTCTTTCATACGGAAATAGGAAAATGAAGCCAAATGATAAATCCATCAAGCCATATTTGGGAGGGAAAAAAACAGAGAAATACCAAATTATTCTCCTAAAATAAACAAACCAGGATCTGACAGAGATGCATCTGACATGAATATAGAGAAAAAATATAATCCAAAACACATTTCCATAACCAAAAGCTCTAGATTATCGACAAAGTACATAAATTGAACACAATATCAGTGATCAAATATGAAATGTATTAAGAATCTCACCCCTCCTCCTCTGAACGACATGGCCGAACCCTTGGATGCAGACGACGGAACAATATCGGAACACAAAAATAAAATCCAAAAAAAAAATGATAAAACCAACACAAAGAAGGCGCTGGTTCTGCTCCAGAAGCAACGGAGGGAAGAGAGAGAGAATGAGAACCAACGGACAAATAAGAAAAGAAATAAGAGGAGATCCAAATTCCAAAAGCAGCCAAGGAAGAAAATTTATATAAAGTTATTCTCACTTTTCCAGTAGTTTTCCCCCTCTTCTTTTTTTTCTTTCTTTTGAGAAAATAAAAAACCAGAGAAAGATGACCGCCCAACTCAGGAGGACTGAGAAAGAAGAAAAGAACAAAGAGATTCGTGTTGAAACAGAAAGGGACGAGGCGCGTCGTGTCCATCTCTCTCTCTCTTTACTCCTTTTTTACTCTTGACAAGACTGCCAACCAGTCTCAACATTCGTGTCGGTTCCTCTCTCCAACCTGAGTTACGTATACTTCAGTCTCTCGATGGGCCGCTATGGGCCACTTCATGGACCCCGTAACGAATGTCTAGATACGGCCCATAGAAAACCCAATTGGAAGCTTAGTGCCCGTTTGGGAGTGCCTAGCTGAAGATTCGGTTAAATTGGTTCAGCTGCTTTAAAGTACTCTGGATGAAGTATTTAAAGAGACTGAAGCAGGAAGAATACGTTCAAACACCCTTCCAACATGAATTTACACTTCACATCTCATGGTGAGATGTATGGTGTCAGATTATATTGGAAGGGTGTTGGAATGTATTTTATTAGCAAGAGATCCAGACTCCTTCAAATGACTGACTGATGGCCGATTTGGGCTCTCCAAATTTTTCACCAAACATAGCTTATAAGCTGTCCACAAGAGACCCGCCTTCGAAATCCAAACACTGCAGTTTTTCAGCCCTCCCAAACAGGGACTTAATTAACAACCATTCTTTGCCATATTCAAAGCAAGAGTACAAACCTTTGAAATTGAAAGAGGGGCTGACCATGTAAAATAAAAAGGGAGGAATATATAAAAGAATTTGGTTTCAGGGCAACTAAAAATCATACAACCTCAAAAGATCAAACCCCGCCATGTACTAGCCTGCATCTGCACATGGCAGAGAATGTCTGAAATTCATGGTCGAGTGCTCTTGCAAAAATTACTTCTTCTTCAAAAAAAAAGGGCTTTTTGTAACAGCTTTAATTTGAAATCATAGGGGGTGTTTGTCAATATGTACGATCCCATAAGTCATTTTTCTAAGCAAACTTTAGTTTTCTTGATTCATATTATATATTTCTCAAAGTATAGATTTTCTCCAAATTAAAGAAAAAACACCAAAAAATAAGGAATATGATTCATCTTCCCTTTATTTTACATATAAGTAAACACAGCTGTTTGGTCTGAAAGAAACGGAGAGAAACAGAAATTTGAAGAACTTCTTAAGAGATTTAGGCTGCGTTCCCTCAACTTTTTGTTTCTCTCCTATTTGAGTACCTTCTATAAAACCAAACACAGCCTAAAATGCTTAATTCATTTGAATCAGTGATTATTTAAAAGGTCTGCAAATTGTATTAGTAAGATGGAGAGATTAAAAATTCAAAACAAGGGCTGAGCCCCAGGTCAGCTTGTTTGACAATTGACAGTCCAATCTGGGCACCGTTGAGTCTCAAAAGTTCAAATTACAGCAACGGCCCATGGGCCAAGGATTTTTGGATGGGAGTTGAGTCCTGAGTCCTGACCGAAAAGTGGGAGCCCATCAAACTGGTACCCAAGAGTCCGACGCTCTTAATAATTGTTGATGTATCATCGCATCGCTATCTTTTATCTTTATTCACATCCGAAGCCGGTGCGTAGAACCCACGCAGCCCTACTTTTGCAATTGCGCACGTTAATGGGCCGCTCCCCCCTGCCTACCGTTATCCGCTCTATATTTGAGAGAGAAAGTTAAGAGCTTGAAAAAATAGAGAAATTTAACAAAGAATTGATTGTAAGTTGTAACCATGATAAACCACCGACTACAACCGTCTAATGGGTGGATACGGGTCAAGTCTAACTGGATATTTGACTATTCTAGTTCCATTAAGGCATAATGTTTTAGTTCAGGCTTGATGAAATATTAGTTTACGTTCAACTTATATGTTTGAACTTGGTTCAAATTGAACTCAACAATAAATCAAGTTTTATATAAAATAAATAAATAATTATATATATAAAAACGATACATAGAAATTTTATTTTTTATTATACATATAACAAAAACTTGATTAGACTCCTGAGCCAAGCTTCAATTGCTAAATATCAAGTCTACTATTATGCACCTTTGCATGTCAATATAAATATGAATGAATAAATAAAGAAAGAAATGTATTGAGCAGATTATCTTAAAGGACATGGGTCAAAATGGTAGGAAATGATTTAAGACTTTATAATTAAGCAATAGATACTGCATTCAAGATAATAGAATAGATTGATGAATATGACTCACGTAGCCAGCCCGGATAAGTCTTAGATGATGAAGATGATGACATGTTTTTCTACTAACCTTTTCCAATCTTAAATTTAAATTTTGAATGGACTGTAGACATTAAAATTGTCATGAGCTCCTAAATGGGCCTACCCCCATAAACTCAAATTCACTCGTGGGCCTTAGTAAAGGTCCTTCTATTTGGATCATACCCCATACTTTCACATATGTGCATGGGCTTACCTCGGGGATTTGTTCTTGTAAATCCATTAGCGTAAGGGAATGGTCTATGTGGGACATATTATGAAGTCAAGTTCAAATTCAATTGTGAATTACAAATCTTATTGGTTTATGGAAATAATTCAATTAAACTCATCTCAAGTCATAAATATGGAAATTTAGTCAATAATTAAAAAGAGAATAATTAATTAAAAATCATTCTTTCTATAAATGATAGATTCCCAACCCTCTTCTTTATAAAAGGTGACTAGAGCCAATCAAATCTCCGGTCAATCAGCACATCTTCCCATTGATGGAAATTAGTTAATAATTGAACAGGCAATAATGGAGGATAAATTATTCTCTCCAAGAATGGCAATAATTACAACCTTTCATTCTCTAAAAAGGGGTGAGAAGAGCTAATCAAATCCTTAATCAAGGGGACTAAGAGATGAGAGCAAAAAAATCTATAAATAAGGGTTCCCATTAAGAGAGAGGGGACTTTTGGTAAAAGGAAAAAAAAAAAAAACTAGTGAAAGTAAGAAGGCTCTTGAGAAGAATGAAGCACATACCCCATCTTCTAAAGAGCAAAGCCACAACACCTTCAAAGTCTAGCACAATCCTTCTTTTGATCAAGCTTTCAAAGCCCAATTGAAGGAAAAATATCCACCATTTTTTGAAGTACAAGAGCATATTCCCGTCGTTATGGTTTTTTACCAATTAATTGTCAATTAACTACAACGGCCTTCAATTATTCACGGCCTAAACGCGACTTCGACCTTGGTTCAAGGGTTATAGTCTTGGTGAAACTGGCAGATGTCTAGGCTATCCAACTTGGGTTCTAGCCAAGTGATATCTCCGAAGAAACTATAGTCTTTGGGTTCTAGCCAAAGGTTCTAAGAGGTATCTAGTTAAGAGAAAATCCTAATAAGGTAGGTACAGTAGAAGGAAGGTTAGATAGGGATTAATGGCTCTGATACCAAGTGTGGTGTGAATATTAAAAGTGAACAGTAATAGTGAATAGTGAAGTAACGTGAATATATATATATATATGTATGCTATATGCAGAGTATCAATATGCTGGGAAAAACCATAATGATGAAAATATGCAGAGAAAACTAGAAATAGTAGGAAAGCAACGTAACGGAAATATATTACTGATAGTACTTACAAAGAGGGATCGAAAATACTTTGAAAACGACACTCTTGCTCACAAGTACAATAACACTCAGAAAATTTGTACAATAATCCTTACTACAAACACTCAGAAGCGAAATAAGACTACTGGACTCTTCTTTTGCTCGAGATTTTTGCACCAGAAAGCATTGCACACTGAGAACTGGAGGAAGCGTTCCTTTTATAGAGACTGTCGAGGATTCTGGAGAAAGGCAGAGAGGAACTGCTTTATTCGAACTTATCCTGAAGGCCTCTATGATTAAGATTCCTTTTGGAAGCTTGATCAAAAGAAGGATTATGCTAGACTCGAAAGGTGTTGTGGCTTTGCTCTTTAGAAGATGGGGTATGTGCTTTATTCTTCTCAAGAGCCTTCTTACTTTCACTAGTTGAATGTCATTTGACCCTTGGCTTCAACTCAAATCCAAGCCTTTAAGTTGCAAGAAGTACCATCAAGAGAGAATCAAAAGTTTTATCTCTTTTCTTTCCATGCCCATTTGAAGGAAATAATCTCCACTGTTATTTGAAGTACGAGAGTACATCATCCAACCCTTGGCTTCAACTCAAATCCAAATCCTCAAGTTGCAAAAAACATAAAGAGAGAATCAGAGGTTCTTTCTTTTTTGTAAGAGAGTTTCAGAAAAAGTTTGTATTCCATTTAATTCACAAATATAAAAAAAAAATCAATTTATTTGAATTTGTCTTCATTTTTCTTGTATTTGGATTTGTACACGAGATTTGTGTCAACATGGACATTTTTTCTACATGCAAAGCCTATCCTTGTTATATGTGAATTTGTTGCAATGGTTGAGAGATCACCCAATAATACTTAACAACTTCATTCTTTGGCAACAAATGGAGAGCCCCAAATCTTACAACCACTCACATATTCATCCTTTCTTCCTTTTTTTTTCTTCTCCTCCTCTCCCCTCCTTCATTGTATCCATTGACATTGAACCAACAATTGTAAGTTCCTCCTCTCCCCCCATTCTCTCTCTCTCCTTGTTCTTCTCTTTCCATTCCCATCATTCTTCCTCATCCTACTTCTCAATTGATGAAATACATTAGAGTTGTCATTCCTCTTCAACCTCCAAAAACGTCACTATCATTGTTGATGCTTACATTTGTTGGATAAATGTGACGCAGAAGACAATGTTCCCTTATATCGTTTGAGAGGAAAAAACTTAAGTTAAGGCTCAAATTGGATTCAAAAGAATGTGTAACGTAGGTCATTTCGAAAAATTTTAAGGCCATTTAGTACTTTGTCCAAGTTTTGAAACATTTGACCACATTAAACAATTGGGCCATGTTTTACCATTTTAGACCTATTTTATCTTATAATGTTCAAATTTAAACACGAATGGGTTTTTAGACATTAAATTTCTAAAAAGTGTTATCAAATGCCACCTATCACTACCCCAAAGTACAAGGTGGCAATTTATAATTTTATCCCTAAAAGTATTATAAAAATTAAAGTCAAAACACTTTACACCCAATTAGCATAAGT